AGATCAGGGCTTCTCACTACCCCACTCCTTGCTCCATGTACCTCCAGCCAGGATTGGGTCCCCCACCAACTCCCCTGGATCCAGCAAGGAGGACTAGGCTCAGATCTGGCCCCTTGCTTACCCCCTTGTCCTTACCACCACCACTGTCTCAGCCAGGATCAGGACCCTGGCCCCACTCCCTACCCTAGCCCCAGCCTGGATTGTGCCCAGTTCTGGACCCCCTGCTCCTCCCCCAGCCACAGCCAGGATCAGGTCCAGCACAGGGCCCCCATCCAGCCTAGCCAGCCCCAAATCAGAATCCCCAACTCAAGCCTCAACCAGAATCAGGGCACTTACCTTGAGAACCTCGACGGGCACCTGGGCAGCAGTGGTGGAGCGGGGCAGGGGGGCAGCGATGGCAGGGGAGGGGGCAGGTGCAGCCCCGGGGGGGGGCAGGAAGGCGGCAGCTGCTTGCTGCTCCCGCCTCTCTTGCTCCTGGGTCTGGGCCCGCATCAGCTGCTGCCGCAGCAACACACGTGATGACATTGTGGGAGCAGGGCTGGGGGCTGGCAGTGCCACTGGGCCTGAGGGAGGGCTGCTGCCAGAGGAAGGGGGGGAGAAGAGGTTAGAAACGGGGAGTAAGCCCTAAACCCTGCCCATAGTTCCAAGCCGTGCCTGCTTTGAGCCCCAAGCCTTGCCCCTCAAATCTAAATGCCCTTGCAACTCCAACTCTGGCCCTGCCCTCAGGCCCAGGAGCCCCGTCCATCATACCATAGCCCTGCCCTCTGAACGGTAAGCCCCGCCTCCACAGCCCCACCCCCTCCTTCCAGCGCCAAACCCCACCCCTCAGTCACGCCCAACATAATCCTATGCCCTTCCTGGTCCGGACCCAAGCCCGGCCTCATCTGAGCCCTCAAAGCTGCAAGCCCCGCTCTCAGATTTGACAATCATATCCCGAACCCTCACCGCCAGCCCCGCCCCACTCCCGGCCGGTCCCGCCTACCCGGCCGCCAGGGGCTGGCTCTTGAGCTGGTAGCAGGCGTCACTGGGCAGGGCCAGGAACTTCTCCACCTCTATGTCGGCTACGATGCCCGACTCCGGCAGCAGGGGGCTGAGGCTGGGACACGCGGGCGCATGTCACGCCGGGTGGTGCCCTGCGGGTGCGGGCTGCAGGGTCTGGGGGAGTAGCGCCCTCGTGCGAGGCTGTGCGCGGGGTCGCGCCCGCCCGGGCAGGCCAGCTACCGCACACCCAGGCATGGGCGGGGCGCGCACGGAACCCAAGCGTCCGGGACGCACCCGCACACACGCGCACACACAGAACCCAGCAGTCCTGGGCGCCCGCACACGCACGCACACGCACATATGGCCCGGACGTACGACTCCCCGTGCAGCAGGTGACAAGGGCGCTCGCGAAGCGCCGGTAGCGGCCTGGAGGCGGGGCTGGCCGGGGCAGCGCGCGCGGACACCAGGGGGCAGCACACAGCGCCCAGGCCCCGCCCCTTGGACACCGAAGCCCCGCCCTCTTAAAGAGCCCGCGCTCCATTCCAGGAAACTATAGGCGTGGGGATTTAACCCTTCCTGAGCCGGGGAAGGTGGCCCGGACGCTTGGGTTCACTCTAGGAGAGGGGAGGGGGGTCAGTAGGGCCTGCACTCCTGGGTTTTCTCTAGGATCTGGGGAGGGAGTGGGGCCTGGAGGGTTGAGGGGGCTGTTGGCGGCCCGGACGCCTGAGTTCCTTCTGGGGTCTAGAAGGCGAGTGGGGTCTGGAGGGGGGCGGAGTAGGGAGCCTGGACGCCTAGGTTCCTTACCGCTCTAGGGCCTACAGGGTGCGAGCTACGCGAAGCCCGGGTTCCCTGCTGGCTCTGGGTGGGGCCTTGGGACCTCCTCGCCGCGCCAATGGTTACGATTCTGCCCCCCTCCCCGCGATCCTATGCGGGGGACTATGGGTTGGGAGTGAAGAGCACCGCGGAGCTATGTCGGGGGGGAAGCAAACTCTGACACTTGGGTCCCAGCGCTGGCGCCAGGCAGGACAGCAAATGAACCCAGGAATCTGGGAGCTGGGCTGAGGCTGGCCCAAAGCCATGAGATCCCCAGAGAATCAAGGCATACGGACCACCAGCCCCCAGCTCTGCTCCCTTCTGCTCCCTTCTGCTCCTGGAGAGCCCAGGTGCCCGGGGGACCCCCAGGACCCTGCACTACAGGTACAGGCCAAGGCATGGGTCCCTGTGCTGAAACATCACCCAGCCTGGACAGTCAAGTCTTCAGGCCCGGGCTAGTGAAGATTCGCTCTTGCATGAGGATGCAGGACTGATGGGCTACTGCAATGGCCCCGTGGTGCCCCTCACTCCTGACCCACAGCCCCCCCTTATTATTGCCCCTCACTCCCGACCCACAACCTCTATCTAAACTATAAGGTCTCACAAGGGAGGAGGATAAGAAATGCGTGGGAAGCAATGGGGCGGGGGGTCTCAGGGCAAGACTGGGAATTAGGGGTGCCCGTGGTGTAGGAAAGTGGGGCTGCAGATCAGGAGTGAGGGGCACCGGTAAGGGGGGCTGGGGGACCCCCGTCCCCGCTTACCTGAGCAGCTGCCCAGCACGGTCCGGCTCCTGCAGCAGCACGTAGACGGTTTTGGGGGGCAGCTCGGGGGGGGGGCGTTGGGACCCCTCCCCCGCCCCATGGGACATCCTCCTCTGGCCCTGCCCCCCTTGCAGCGGCAGCAAACCCTGTTTTCAGGGCCAAGAGGGGCCCGATCCGGCCTGGGGGACCCCGAAAAGGCAAAGCTACGGAACCGCCGAGGCGATAAACAGCGCGGGGTGGGTGGGGGGGGGGAACTCCACGGGAAGTGACGTCAGGCGGGGAAGCACCCCCCCCTTATTGACATAGCGGGGTGCCCCAAGGGGGGTCCCCGACTACCACGGGACTGTGCCCCTCACTCCGACCTGCAACCCCCTCGCCATAGTCCTGCGGTGCCCTCGACCTGCAGCCTCCGCATCCCGCGGTGCTTCTCACTCCCGACCCGCACCCCATCGCAGCCAGCGGTCTCCCTCATTCCCGACCCGCAGCACCCCCCAGTATAGTACTGGCAGTGGCCAGCAGAGGGGGCTCGTTTTTCAGTGTCTCTGTCAGGGGGGCATTGGCTATGCTTGTATGCACTGGGGGGAGGGAAGGGCGGGCAGGGAGCCCAGACGCCCGGGTTCTCTGGCAGAGAAATGGGGGCTGGTTCTGGGACTAGGAGGTTTGGGAACCCAGGCACCCGGGTTCCTTAACAGGGAAGTCAGCTGAGTGCTAGGACACCTGGGTTCTCTTGGACAGGACTTGGGGCGGGGGGAGTGCTCTGTACTCGGATTCCTGGGTTCCTTGTCATGTATAGGGAGGGACGGGTACCCAGACGCCTGAGTTCCCCGAGTGCGCCCCGCCCCCGGTTGCCATGGCGACGTTGCGCAGGCGCAGACGGACCCACTGTCCTCCCCCCCCCCACCACCAGCTGTCCTCCCCCCCCCAGCACCAGGAGGGTTAACCACCACCCCCAGTTGCAGCCAGCGCCGGGGCCCCGGACGCTTGGCTTCTTCCTCGCACCTCTTCCTCGGACACCTGGGTTCTCTGCCTGGATCCTCGATCTGCAGCCTCTACTATAGCTCCGCGGTGCCCTCCACTCCCTGCCCGGAACCCGCCTCCTCCCCGCGCCATAGTCCGGCGGTGCCTCTCACCCACGACCCACATCCCTTCCATCGCCACCACCAATCTCAGGCGCCTGGGTTCCTACCTCCCGGCCTGGACCTGCCCCCCGCCCCGCAGAGCGGGGGTTTTGGGGGTGGGAGGATAGATCCGTAAACCCCTCCCCAGGGACCTCTCCCCCACCGAACCCGGCGCCCAGAGACTGCAGAGTGAGGTAAGGCGGGAGGGAGCCCGGACGCCTGGGTTCTCGCCGGGGAGGGGCTAGGGACTGAGAGCAGGGGAGGCTGGGAGCCAGACTCTTGGGTTGGAGGGGCTGGGATCCTGGACACCTGGGTTTTCGGGGGCTGGGGGGAGAGAGCCCAGATGCTTGGGTTTTTGTGGGGAAGGGGGGGCTCCCCAGATTTTCCAGGAAGGAAAATGGGCTCTTTTCCCATCAAAGATGGGGAGAGAATCCAAGCATCCGGGCTCCCAGCCCCCAACTCTCCCCTTGGGGAACCCTGTCATCAGGGTGACTCACAGTCCCCACCCAGGGCTTGGCAGGCACCTTTGTCCCAAGCTAGGATGAATCAGGGCAGGTGATGCAACCACCTCTGGGGTGGGGCATCCAGGATGTAGAACAACCCTGGGGAAGGACCCAGAGGTGCCCAGCTCTGGGGTGGAACAACCCAGTATAACAAGGCCTAATATAGGCCGAGATGTGCCCATCTCTGGGGTGACCATGGCCGGGGAACAGCCAAGTATAACCAGGCCCATGTTGTCCAGTAGTTAGGAACAGCCAAGTATGACAAGTCTTAGATGCACCCAGCTCTGGAGTGGGGGTGGCAGAGTATAACAAGGCTTAATAAAGGCTCAGTTGCACCCAGCTCTGGGGTGGGGAAGTCAGGGAATGGTTGAGTATAATAGGACAGAGGGAAGGCCCAGATGCACTCAGCTCAGGTCCAGCAGCCCAGAATGAGGAAATATAACAAGGGGCCCAGATGCACCTAGCTCTGAGGTGGAAACACCCAGGGCCTGACCCCATTTCCTGCCTCAGGAAGGCCCTAGGTGACCAGTTCCAGACTGGGGCCCAGTCACAGGGCCATACTGGGAGCAGGGCCAGGACAGTGCTAAAGGGGGAGGACCTCAGGTTAGCCCCTGAATGGGAGACAGCAGTATGGAAGCTGGAGATGGGGTCAAGTGCTGGGAGTCCAGATGCCTGGGTTCTCTGGGCATGGGGTGAGGTTGCTGGTGGCTGGGAGCCCAGACACCCAGGTTCTTTGGGAGAGGGGTGAGACCAAGGGGTGCTGGGATCCCGAATACCTGCATTCGGG